GGGCGCCTGTAATCCCAGCTACTCGGGAGGCTGAGGCAGGAGAATGGCGTGAACCCGGGAGGCGGAGCTTGCAGTGAGCTGAGATCCGGCCACTGCACTCCAGCCTGGGCTACAGAGCGAGACTCCGTCTCAAAAAACAAAAAACAAAAACAAAAAACAAAAAAAAAAAAAAAAGAACTAAATTCAATTTCCAGTATACCCACTGGTTTGTTGAGAATCGACAGACACTCTTTGGTGCTGCAGTTCCTTTTCCTAAAAAACTAAGCAAGAAAATGTGTACTGTATCATCTGATCAATTGACAGAAAGGTCTCTGTTGATCACATAGACACTCAACAGATACAAGCAATGAGATCACCCTAGGAATTTTCACGCTTTTTTACTTTTCTCAGTTTCAGACCTATAAGAAGGTTCTTCACACTCAAGGTTAGGAGCTGTCATTACATAGTGAGTATAGTCCCTAAAATAATACAGTGGTTGCTCTGGAAATATAAACTATAGATTCTTGAAAACAGTTCAATCATCTCTGATCAAATAAAAAATGCCATATATTAACCTGAAACATCAATACTTTGGAATTTTAGCCAGACAGAAAAAAAAAAAAAAAAAAAAAACTGCCAAAAGAAACAATGTGGGGAAGCAGGGTCAAAACAACACATTTTATTACCTTTTACTTACTTAACACATGGAGAATATTAAACAAACAATAAATCATATAGTTCTTCAATGACGCAAGAGTATGGGTTACAATTTCATTTTCACCCCCTTTCATTTGCAAAATCGTGTCAAAGCTTACTTTCTACTATCAATAACAAAAAGCACAGAAATAATCAACTAGGATATGGAGAGTCACTAAATAATAAAGTCTTGGCTACTTTATCCTAAAAGAAACTATAATAACCTTTAAAAAATAAGAAATAAATGTCCCATGACAAAGGAATGAAATAAACCATTACACATTGACACAATGAATAATTAGCCATAAAAAGAGCTATAAAGACTCAATAGATACATGAAAACTGTGTAATAAACAGAAAAGCAAAATACAAAATGGTATGTAATTATGTAAAACATATATGAGACACTGTAAGTTAATATTCCAAAAATTGTGTTTGGATTGAGATTATAAATAACTTTTTTTCATATCTTCTATAAATTACGATCCTACAGTTTTAACTTTTTGAAGTCAGCTATTCAAATACGTATGTGCGTCTGTGTGTGTATACGATAATAAATATCTCAAATACCTTTTTGTTGTAATAGCTCTGATGGCTGTGTAACTGAGGTCACAGGCTCAACAGGGTGATTTGCAGTGGGAGGTGTTCTTGTTGATGAGGATCCTGATAAAACGGTGGATACTACTGGGCTGGACTTGGGAGGCTGAACATTTTGCATCACAGGACAGGATAAAGAATCTGCAATTGAAGAGAAGAAACTATTTCATCCACAGAGACTTGAAGTATATTAATATATATTACTCCATATATTATATATAATGTATAAAATATAATATGTAATTATATAACATATAATATATATTACTAACAAAATACAGTTTATCTGAAGTTCTTGTAGAAACTTCAATAGTATCACATTTACCTAGTATATCCTGAAAAGAAGGTGGTACAAATGATTTTTTAAAAACTGAAAAATTACTCATCAAATGTTTTAATAAACTTTAACGACAATTTTCCTAAAATATTTCACAATCTTCCTTACCTTCTTAAAATGAACTCAACTTTTATTTACTAATGATCTCTATGAATACAAATTATTGAACAGATTATTGTACTATGCAATGGTGACTCAGGTAAGGAGAAGAGGAAGAGGTTTTTGACTCTGCAATAATGTGGTCTCTGACACTTCTAGTAATCAGTTCAGATCTCATTTTGCACTGTAAACTGCTACTTCTCATTTGCTGTTTCTAACCAGATGCCTTATTTCACATGTAACTAAGTAAGGGCCTAACCATAACACAAGGTTGAACTTCTGGAATAAAGTGCACACAACTCATCGTGGGTCTTTGTGATAGCTCAAAATACCAAATGTCTCCTAGAAGGCAAAATCGTCCCTGGTTGAGAAATACTGGGTAAGTTATTGAAGATAATCTTCAAGACTATCTAACCAAGAGATAACTGAAAAACCTATGGCAAAAGACTACTGGTGAGCAGTCATGATATGTTGAATAAATTTACATACTTATACCTGCACATATACATGTGTGTGTCTCTGTATACTGTGTGTGTATATACGTAAACAATCTTAGTTCTGGGACTGAAACAAATAGGAACATGGTGACAAAACAAAATGTGCTATATGTCCTAATAGTATAAAAACAACATAAGCACGTATGAGGAACAGGGAAAGAAGGTAGTCTAAATACGCTGATTGCTTCATCATTTTTAGTAGGAAGACAAACTATCACTGTGGAAGACTGAAAACATCATCACAATATTTTACAGTTCCTTTCATCAATATGGAGTCTATTTTACCACCCTCTGAATCAGAACAAACCCTGTGACTGGCTTTAGATCAACAGTATGGGGCAGAAATAAAAGTGTACAAGTCCCAGACCTCAAGTCTCGAGGTGACACTGCAGCTTACACCTTTCCACTCTGAAATGCTGCATGGATCATCATGTAGGGAAGCTGGTATAGTCACATACAGAAAAACCTAGGCACCCCAGCGAAGAGTCTGCACCAACTGCTAAACATGTGAGTGAAGCCATCTTAGAATCTTCTAGTCCCGCAAACCTCCAGCAAAATGAATTCACATGAGTGAATTCAAGAAAAACCTGCAGAACTACCCAGCAAACCCACAGAATCAAGAAAAATAAATCATTGTTATTTTAAACCAGCAATAGATAACTGATATTATCACTAAAACTGCCAACATAAAACAGTGATTAAGAATATTTAACAGTATCCAAGTAAAAACTGAGAAAGATATAATTATCTAAAATTAGGGTCAGGCATGGTTGCTCATACCTATAATTCCAGCACTTTAGGAGGTCAAGGTGGGCAGATTGCTTGAGCCCAGGAGTTTAAGACCAGCCTGGGCAACAAGGCAAAACCCCATCTCCACTGAAAAATTGATCTGTGGTCCTCAGCTACTGGTGAGGCTGAGGTGGGAGCACAGCTTGAGCCCAGGAGGAGAAGGTTGCAGTGAGCCAAGATCATGCCACTGCACTCCAGCCTGGGTGAAAGCGGGAGATCCTGTCTCAAAAACATACAAGGAAATCGTATCAGGTGTATGTGTATGTACTATATGTATTGATACACATGTGTATATATATAAAGCATAATAAAATACCCATGAACTCAGCATCCAATTTTGAAAATAAAACATTTTCAATACCGTTGAAGCTCTAATATGCTCCTCACAGAAGGCACTCCCCTGCCGGCTCCTGAGTCATGTTTATTATCCTTTTGCTTTTGTTTTCAAATAGTTTACCACACATATAAGTATCCCAAGGCATTATTTTTGCTCATTTTGTAAACTTTATAACAATAACATACTGCAGGTATTCTTCCGTATTTCCTGTGCTACATTCCTGGGATCAGTCATGTTAATGAGTGCAGCTCTACTTCATTTTCACTGCTGTTCAGAAGTCTGATGGAAGAATATAATTTATTTATTCATTCTGCTATTAATGGACTTTTAGGTTATTTCCAATTTTTTGTTTTCACAAACAGTACGGCTATGAATACTCATGCACTTGTCCCTGGTATAGACATGCAACTTTCCCTAGGGCAGAGCTTCTACACATAGGTGCCACAGCTCAAATATGTGGAGGTGTGCAGGAGGGATATCGAATCCCTCAGCCCTGGGGACAGCTCTGTAGGAAATGAGCCTAGAGAGCAGACTAGTCTCTTTGTCCAATAGCTCAAACAAAAATCATTTGCCATAAGAGGCATCCATCTAAAACAGGAAGTGGTGTTTCATGGCCCTCATATTCAAAGTGTAGTCTACAGACTATCAACACCTTATGTGGAAGCTTGTTAGAAAGGAGAGTCTTAGGCCAAGTCATAAAAGACCTGGAGAATTAGAACCTACATTTTAAATGAGATCCCAGGTGACACATATGTACAGGAGGCATATATGACACATATGAGAAGAACTTCTCTAGAGTATAGAGAAGAGGGATAGCTGTGTTGTGGGGTGTGGTTATTTTCAATCCACTAATGCCAAATTTTCCTAAAACACGAATGAATATATCCTCCTACCAAGAGTGTCTAAGAGTTTCCTGTTATTCCACATCCTCACCATTCCTTGGTATTGTTAGACTTTCTAGTTTTTACCCATCTGTTACTAGGTATAAGATGATATCCCATTCTAGTTTTAATTTGCTTTTCACTGTTTATTAATGAGATTATGTTTTCATTTAATCTTCTGCGCAATGCCTATTCAAGTATTTTTCTTTTGGTTGTTGGTCTTTATTAATTTCTATGTAGTACTTGTATATTCTGGGTAAACACTGTTAAGTATATACATTTTTTCCCAGTTTGCAGCTTGTGTTTTTCTTTTCTGCATGTTGTGTTTCAATAAAGAAAAGTTTTAAATTAGAAATGAGTCGAGTTTATCATGTTTATCCTTTATGGCTAGCATTATGTGCGTTGTGCTTAAAAATTCCTTCCCTACCCCAAGTTTCTAGAGTTAGTTTCCTGTATTTTCTCTGAAAAGTTTTAAAGTTTTGCCTTTTTGCATTTACACATTTACCTCACCTGCAATTAATTTTATACATGGAGACTTTATCCTTCAGATTACAGCTAAAGTATTACCTCCTTAGGGAAGACTTCCCTAGGCTTCATGACTAACAGGCTAAATGCACCTAAAGTAATGCTACCAAGTACCATATACGGTTGCTTCATGATGCTTAAATAATAATAGGAATGTTACATTCATTTGTGTTTATTTGGATATTTGCTTCTCTAAGTGAACTGCAAACTTTATGAGGATAGCATTAACTGTTTTTACTCACTATTTTATCTCCCAACACTAGAACAACTTGTGGAACATAGTTAGCTTTCAAGTATTTGTTGGATGAACGGAGACAAGGCCTACCAACATTAAGGACCAGAGAAACATGCCAACCAAGAAGCTGCTCCTTTCACAAAGGGAATTTGACAAAAGAAACAATACATAAAACTGGACTATGCAAAATTCATTGTTGCTCTGTTTAGTTTCTGAGGTGTGATTTCTGAGAGGATATCACGATTCAAGAATAAATATTTTCTTCTTTTGATGATTATGGCAGTTCCTCAGTTAATTTTTTACTTTTACTCCTGGGCTCAAGTGATCCTTCTGCCTTGGCCTCCCAAAGTGCTGGGATTACAGGATGAGCCACCATGCCGGGCCTTTAGTTAGTTCTTAGTAGCTCCTTAGTTCCCTATTAGTTGCTTAGAATTCACTTCTTCATGCATAACACACCTGAGGATTAGGTATGTAGATGGCCTCTGAAAGGAATACTCCTTTATTAATATAATCCTGTAAAAGTAAGCATTATCTTAAGTAATCGTGCAAAAAGTTCTTTAGAAACTAGGAGAGATTAAATAAATTCTCATTTAATAGTATCACTATCCACTCAAGTTGTTCAAGCTAGAAATTTTAAGTAATCTTGTATTTTTCTTTTTCCTTCATAAACTATATCAACAAATCCTTCAAGTCATCTCTGTCATCTGTCTTCTGTATAAATGAATCCAGTCCGAGTTATCCTTCACCTAATAATTGTAATAATTCCTTTCTAGCTGGTTTTCCTGTTCTAGGTTCTTCCTTCTCCAGTTATCTACTACACTGTTCATAGAAGAAAGTTCTGAAACACAAATCTGATAGTGCCACCACTTTGCTTATAAACTTTTAATGACTGCTGATTACATATACGACAAGGCATGTGTTTTCCTTTCATTAATTCCTCTCACCTATCCAAATGCCACAGTCCAGCAGAAATTGAGGCTGATACTCTGGAGAGGGGGTAACAGCTAAAGCCAGAATCTGAAATAAGTGAACACAAAGATGAACATCTCCTCTTCTCAGCTTGGAGAGGGAGAACACGTAGAAAAATTTACAAGTAGTGGGCACAAAGTTGAAAAAAGATGAAAAAAGGTTCAAGACTATCTTTAGAAAAACTGAAGGAGTAAGTATGTGAGGGAGTAAAATTACGCTATTCCCATAACTCTGTAATCACACAAGTTTCCAAAACTAAAAATAGTCTCTTGTACTGCACTACTTGTATTTTGTACGAGCATTTTATTTTTCCAGTGCGGTTGTCTAATTTATTTCTTACTTATATTTCTATGCCCAAATAATCTTGTCCTACAAGGTATTTGCTTCTGCTTTTCCTCAAGCACATTACCAACCAGAGATGACAGATAAAATATTAACTTATCAGTGACTTTTTAACTTATCAGTGACTATATCTTAGTGTCATGTGTGTAGTGGACTTTTATTCAAGAATTATACACTGTTTCTCGGTCTTCTGACTAAGATCAACTGTGAAGAATTACATAAATGCTTATTATTTTTACTCAAGTAGCTTTTTAAATGCTTTTGTATAAAACTGAGCATCAGAAAACAGCATTAATCAGACACTACTGTTTTATAATATGCTATCAAGATGTGGTTCTTATTAAGCAATAAATATTCAAAATAATTTTAATCAAAATAATTTTTCTGGCAAAATTCTACATATTGGCAACAAGACTTATCTTGCTAATTTTTAAAAGTATGTACTTTGTAAAATAAAGAGACACTAAAGACAAATTAAGAAAATTGTTTTAAATGAATCTACAGAGTTTTGGTATTCATCTTGCTGTCAAAAATGGGCACCTTTACATCCCCAAGTCACACTCAGGCAACTTCACCTCAAACTAAAAAAGAGCTCCTGTACTTATTATTACAATTCTATACTAGGTTACTTGACTATACTAGAGATTCACCTACAGTGAGAGTTTAAAATTTTTTAAATGGCCTAATGAAATGACACCTTTTAAACACTAGCCAGAAGTGCAACCTAAGTTAACAACTAATGCAACACTCAAAACATACATACTTGGAGTGGGCTTTTTGAGACGGAGTCTCGCTCTGTCCCCCAGGCTGGAGTGCAGTGGCGCGATCTCGGCTCACTGCAAGCTCCGCCTCCCGGGTTCACGCCATTCTCCTGCCTCAGCCTCCCGAGAAGCTGGGACTACAGGCGCCCGCCACCTTGCCCAGCTAATTTTTTGTATATTTAGTAGAGACGGGGTTTCACCGTGTTTGCCAGGATGGTCTCGATCTCCTGACCTCATGATCTGCCTGCCTTAGCCTCCCAAAGTGCTGGGATTACAGGCGTGAGCCACCATGCCCAGCCCGGAGTGGACTTTTTAATAAAATAATTGAAGTTCTAGTACTGAATTATAATGTACTAATAGGCTTTTCTAAAATAAAGCAAATGAGATAATATTTAAAGGTCCCCTTTAGTCTATGTTTTGAATATTAATTCATTAGCTGCCTAAAAGTAACAGTATGTATCCATCTGTCATATTTTTGATATTCACTTAACTCAGCTTTATGCTTTTGCATCTCCAACTCTATAAAATGACTGAGGACTTTTAGTATATCTGAAAATGAAAATAGTGTAATCAAATAGTAAAGAAGGTAATCATTTTTGTCAATTATTCAAAGGTTGAATTTAACACAAAACTATGTTTAATACCTAAGATTTTCATTTTAATGTGAAAATACAATTTGAGTGTTGAAAGCAATTATGTTGCCAGACTTTCTAGAACATTAAACGCAATATTCCCATACCCTGTACCCAGCACAAGGTACTTTTACCTAGGCTCCCCAAGGCACTGCAACAAATTCGTAAGTTTCCAAGGAGTATTTTAAATTGTCAAGAAAAACAGTGATTCGTGTCAAATACCTTATGAACTACTACTAAGTTACATGGGGCACTTGAAAAATATTGAAATATATCAACTGAGAAAGTCTGGGAACTTTGGCAATATTTAATTTTAAAGTAGATTTTTAAAATAACCTCTATTTTTTTTGAAACGGTGAAGCACGTTTGTCATATTAACATGAGATAATATTTAATTTGTCAACCTCTGAACTTCAATTGAAAAGTAATTTACCAATCTAAAGGCAGGTAAAAAACCCCACTTCTGAACACAAATTAAATTCTAAAATATATTCATTATGGCACTCACAGTACAGTACTAAGATTAAAAGAATGAAAATATATCCTGCCTCTCTGCCTACAGGACTCATTACAGCAGTTATTCAAACAGAGAATAGTTTTACAATTATTCTCCTTCTTTATTCAATCTTTTCTTAATGACAGGCCTTTCCCAATTACTTGTTCTGTTCATTAGCCAAGTGACCCCATATTTCCCTGACACATTTCAACATAAATTGGTTCCATCCAGGGTGCTATTCCCACCTCAGAACTAAGATAGGAATTACCTGTATTTATTTTGTCATGAAAGTCAGAAAATCCTTAAGTTGGAAGGACTTTAGGATAAGTAGATCTGTAAATGCAATGTTGAAAGAAGAGAGAGGAAAACAGAATTTTTAGAGGACAGAAAGCCCTGGTTCTGAGGGAGACAGAAAAAACTGACCTCCAGGCCAAGCTCTGTTTCTACCATTAATGACCACAGGCCAATTCAACTTGGATAACTTTCTTCATTTGTAAAACAAAAGGACTACAGTAAAATTTAGATCTGTTTCACAGCATCACTGAAGATCCAGTTAGAAATAGATTCTCAAGAGTACCCTGGAGATTCTATTCTAGCTCAGTAAATTGTAGTTGAAAATCGCAATCTGTGCAAGTGATTCTGGTAGACAGCCAGATTTCGGAACTGTGACAGACACTTTGAGTTGACTCACCCAAGTCAGTGCTAACTCCCTTTTTTCTTGCTTGCCTCTACTATGGATGCTAAAAAAAAAAAGGCTTAATATTCATTTTCCAGCTTTCCCTGAAGCTAGGAATGGTCTTTTAAATAGCTATGGCAAGTGATCCGTAAAATGAAGTCTGTCAATGCCACTAACCAGTCCCCTTTCCTCTCCCTTCTTCCTGCTTTTAATTCTGACTTAATGTCTATAGGTACAGAAGTATCTCGTTTCTATAATCTACTTGCTACGGGTGGCAGAGTGGAAAGAGAAAAAAGGATACCAAGAACAGCTGGATCCACTGCATCCACCTAGACTTGTGTTGTGAGGAAAATACCCCCTTTTTGTTTAAACTACTATTAGCTGCTTGTAGCTGAAAGCATTTCTAAACGACATAGCAATGAAAGAGTAGATGATCTCAAATGAACAGCTCGGGTCTGATATTAAAGTTCTAATTTTAAATAATCTAATTGTCCAGAGAAGGATATCTTTCCACAGCATCTTTGACACATGGCTATCCAGACAATGATACACAGCTAAAGATATCATTCCAAAAGTTACCACAGTTTTACCAATTTCCATTTTTTACATACATTTTCAGTTGCTTCAAGAGCAGATTCTGTTAAATTCAAGTTCGCAAACTGAATTAAAATGAATATATCCTATGGAAACACTGTACTTAAAAAGCCACACTGGGCCAGGCGCGGTAGCTCGTGAGTTCAAGACCAGCTTGGGCAAAGTGGCAAAATCCCATCTCTACAAAAATAGCTGGGTGTGGTGGCATATGCCTGGTAGTCCCAGCTACTTGTGGGGCTGAGATGGGAGGATCACTTGAGGCCAGGAGGTCGAGGCTGCTGTGAGCCGAGATCATGCCCAGCCTGGGTGATAAAGTGAGACCCTGTGTCAAAAAAAAAAAAAAAAAAAAAAAAAAAGAAAGCAAGCCACGTCTTACATACATAATTTTTAAACGAATAAATTTAACAACACTTTGGTTTAGGAAGGTCAGAAGGGCTAAACACCAGGGTATTCTTCACGCATCTTCCTTTCCCTTCCCCATCTTTCAGCCTAACTTACTAATCTGAAAATGAGAAACACTGTTTATGTGCAGGAAAGATGTCTTCTGCAAAAGTCACTGACAGGGGCTAACTTGGGGAAACCAGTGCACTGCTGCAAATCATCCTCTTTTCTAAGTAAGTGGGGCTCTGGCTAGTAAAACAACTGTCCTAAGGTTGAACTAGTATAAAAGAGAAAATAGTGGCCAACATATCCTCAAAACAGACCCTTCCATTTTGCCCTGTATCTAATTCACATTAAAGACAACTATTGCAGATGTATAAAATAGATCAATAAATGCTGACTAATCATGGCAAGGAAACAAGCTAG